TTTTTTTTCTGACGGGCAGATGCTTACACGCTTTTTTCGCATTTCTGTCACTCGGATCTATACGGCAAAAACAACAATTTAAGCGACATTATACACTTGTGAAATTTTGCTGCAAATATGTTTCAAGAGTCTAACACACTCGACTGCTCTTTTACTCACGGGCAGATGCTTGCACGTTCTTTTCACGTTTCTGCCGGTCGAATCTGTACGGCAAAAACAACAATTTAAGCGACATACACTTGTGAAATTTTGCTGCAAATATGTTTCAAGCGTCTAGCACACTCGACTGCTCTTTTTCTCACGGGCAGATGCTTGCACGTTCTTTTCACGTTTCTGCCGGTTGGATCAGTACTCAAAAGATACTTCCATATTGTTTTCACATTTCTGCTACATGTTTACTTTTAACAAATAGTATAAAATTTCACAGTAGCTTCTTACAGCAGACTACTGCAATAGTACAGTAAGTACTCGTTCAATCACAGATATTATGCACTTTTGTCGCAATTCTGGACTGATTTCTTGCGCACTTCTTCGGGACGCATCTGAACTAGCAAACTGGTTACCAGGGTTATTTTACCTGTAGACAGCCCGAGTTTTTGGTTCAAATCGATGACATATTTTGTGCCGATATTTTTCTCGCAGACTGTAGCAGCAACACGAAAGTCGAACGATTCAGAACCAGCGTAGTGGTGAGATTTTGGGTTTTTAGCTGCCACACTCGAATTGAAAGCTTCGTTCGGTTGACTAGACCCACATGGGGCGAGTTTATCTGCATTTTTCCAAAATGCATCAAAAATGGATGTAAGTGCTGCTCTTGTGGTAGATTCAGTGAGTCCTTTGCCTCCCGGTAGCCCATTATGCTTGTAATTCTCGGGATCCTCTTTATACTTGCACCACGCGCCACAGTTTTCGTGCTCATCAAATGCATGGGGTATAATGTTTTTTAAGGCTTTTTCTGTAGCCTCTACATCGCCTATGTTTTTTTTCAAAGCACATCCGAAACAGTATTTTAGGTATTCTATCACGTCTCTTGGAAGTTTTTGCAACCACAAAGCTTTGCTCAACTTCTTTGTAGCGTGATTTAAATCGGACCACTTGGTTACCGGATGGCTGCATTCACGACGGACTGCAGCAATTGTGGAGCTATCATCGTCACCAATAAGTGTGCCCAATTTGACGTTATTCTCTTCGAAATCTTCATTTTTTGCAATAATTTCTACTGCTATATCTGATTCCATTGCTTTTGCACTCCTGGTCCAATTGAGCCGACAGTCGTGATCTTCTGGGCTATGCCCCGCTTGACACTTTCGGCAGTGCTTAACCCGAGTCGACCATCCAAGAATCTTTCCTGAATTCGAGCCAATTAAAGATCCGAGAGCTAAGAGAAATGGAAAGAATTTATGGAATCAGGAGTAGAATATACGGTTTCATATTTATTTCATTTCTTTTGCGAGATGATAAAAATATTTTAAAACACACGTCATATTTTGAATATAGAAAAATATATCTAATGTAAATATCCTATACATTTATATTATTGTATATAGTAATTATTGTATAAAGTATTAGTTATTTTATTAATTATTCTAAAATTGTATATAGTAATTATTCTATAAAGTTATATTATTGTACATAGTAATTATTGTATAAAGTATTATTTATTTCATTATTCTAAAATTGTTGTATATAGTTGTATATATAAGTTATATATATAATCGTAGTTGTATGTACACTATTACGCGTTTAGCCTGCGTTTCAATCATTTGCAACTGAAACATCAGAAATACCTGCTAAACTATCATATGAGTGACCATTTCCACGCTTTGGCCAGGCAGCATCGTAGGAAGCTGCGATCATTACAGGATCGTTACTTCGTGGTTGCCTCGATCTAGAATTAATGTTTCTCTTTTTAAATGCATGCGTTGCATGACAGGGATAGATGTCAGTCATATAACACTTTAGCTTACGTGTCTGCAGCAATAGAAACCTCTTTTTCTATTTTTATTGCCTCGGCACAACTCTCCTTAGCAGTTGCTTCGATAGCGACCCCAACTAAACGTTCGTAACGTTTTAATAACGTAGAATGGACCGATGGAATGTTCATGGTTGACAAGAAAGTGTTCAACTGCGTTACACCAATGCCTGCATCGATGACTCCTAAAATATTGTATATTATAAATTTGTCGAGAGACAATCATATTGGATCCGACGATATTCACCTACCTATAGCTCCTTTGTAATTATTCTCAAACATCATTTTACGATTATCGCTGACATATTTTGCCCGATTACAAGTTGCGACTGTTTTTATTTTGGTGCAATTTGGACACCGCACTTTGAAGGTGCTTGCCAAACCGCATATGGTTTCACTTTCTACGTGCCGAAACGAAAGTGCTTTATTGCAGGATTTGCACCACAAATCCTCCGCCACTTGCGTGATATTCACGATTCGCTGACCTTCGACTTTATTTATGTCAGATGCTAATTTTCTTTTTTTGGCTCCGGCGACGACATTGTTTTTCCACGCAATTTTCCGTTTCGTCTCGAAACGTCCCTTACGTCGAGGCTGCTCGTTCCAACTCATATTTCACACTTTTATCTACGTACTACACTAGGTTATGTAGATCGCGACGACGCGAGGACTGCTGACTCAGCTGACTGCGACGTTGCCGCTGCTGTTGTACATACTATATTCACACGGCTCACAACTCTAGTAGTAAAAGATGTGACTTTCGTCTCAATATTTTAATTGCGTAGAGGTCGTATAACATTAAAGATGCCATAAATAATAAATCTAATTATATGCTGATTTTTATGGACAAAAATCACACTTATTTATCAGTAATAAGAATAGTTGCCTATTTGACTTGCAAGTACTGCATGAACCACCTTAAAATAGACGAAAATTTTAAAAATCTAAGACCACCTTTTTTTTTCATAAATGTAATTTTTGTTTACAGGTACCGCTCAGAACAATTCAACGATGGCAGTCAAATGCAGGATATGCTCACATTTCTATTGCTAACCATGATAATTTTAATGATATACCAACGACAAGCGGCTCTTTCATTAATTTCCAAGAAAGCATGATCTTCATGATATTGAAAACCTTGATTCTGATAACGTAACCGTATCAAGTATCTTAACTTCAGAGGATGGAAGTGAGGTTTTTGATGTTGAGACCAACCATGCATCAGACAATACAAGCAGTAGTGATAGGCTTGATAGCGAGAATGATTCTAACGACATGAATCATAGGCAAGATGATAGGGATAATGATCATGAGCCTAGATGCCAAAATAGTAGGCTGGATTTATTATTGTATAAAAATAGTCGAATGACTATCGACGAAAGTATTTTAACTCTTTTAGAATTATACGTAAAACATAAATGGACTAAGGCTAGTTTGAAAGACATTTTAAAAATGTTGCATAAAATGCTACCTGATGATAATAATTTGCCAAAAACCGTTTACAAATTGTTCCAATATGTTGAGAACTTGGCACCATCGTTTAACGTTATTAAACACTTCTACTGTAAAAAATGCTTAAATTACTGTAGTGCTGATACAAGAATATATGAATGTTTTTCGTGCAATGCAAACGACAAAAGTATTTCTTGCTTTTTCGAAATTGACATTTGTAAACAGATAAAATATCTATTCGAAAAACGAAATCTTGCTGAAAAATTAAAACCGCTATCGTCAAGACCTGATAATGGTCAAATTAATGATATTACGGATGGTTCAGAATATGTTCGAGTAATTCTAGAGAAAATAGACAAAAGTACGATTTAAAATTGGTGCTAAATACAGATGGTCTGTCATTAGTCAAAAGTGCAAAAAGTCATTGTTGGCCTTTAATGTTTATTATTTCAGAACTTCCCGAACACTTAAGGGAATCGTTTCTTATTACTATAGGACTTTGGTATGATGATTCGTGTAAACCATTAATGAACACTTTTTTAAAACCATTTTGTGAGAAATTAGAACGATGTTTTCAAGAAGGTATCAGTTGGGTCCATCCACAAACAAGAGAAACGTTCGTTACAAGAGTTGTAGCTCCTTTAATAATAGCCGATGCACCAGCAAGAGCTCAACTGCAAATGATGATTGTGAAATAAAAATGAAACAAGCTAAAAATATTAATGGCAAAAGAAACTGTCGCATCTATCCTTTTCATGATCAAGACAAAAAGCTAAGAACTAGCCAAAGAATGCAAGCTCAAGCTCAAAAACTACTCCAAACAGGTGACATTCATATTAAAGGGGTAAAAGGACATTCTGTTATTTCAAATCTTCCTCTTCTTGATTTAGGAACGTGCTTGTTACCTGAATTCATGCACTCTGCTTTATTAGGCGTAGGAAGACAAATCGTACAATTATGTATAGAAAAATATAATAAACCTTGGAGTCTAAAAAAATATATCAAAGATATTGACAGGTTTTTGTTAAATATTCGACCACCCCATTTTTTCAATCGGATCGTGCATTATACATGACACAAGATCTGATCATATATGGCAATAGATAACCATATATGATTATATATGCTCTATACATGGGCATGTAAAACTTATATCTGTTCATATCTCATTTATATATGTTCATATACTGTCAGATATGAATATTTTTCCCGGACATTTTATATCATTATATCCCCATCTGGTCATATATAGACAGATCTGATCATGTTTCATATCATTTCCGGCCGTATATGAACATATACAATCATATACAGCATCGCGTATTGTCATATATGATCATATACAGTGCCGATACAGTTATGTATGGCCATACATAATTATATCTGATAATACATGGCCGAACATTCTTTATATACGACCATGTAAGGCCAGATACGATTATGTATAGTGTCATATCTGGCTACACATAATAATATGTCTGACCATATATGAACTTATATGATCAGATCTTGTGTCATGTATAATGTACGATCTGATCATATATGGCGATATATAACCATATATGATTATATATGCTTTAGATATGGGCATGTAAAACTTATATCTGTTCATATCTCATTTATATATGTTCATATATGTTCATATCTCATTTATATATGGGGCATTCCACGCCAATTCGCAAGGGGTCAAACTTCGACCTTTTTATTTTTGATGGCCGCTCGTTTTTTAACAGGTCTTTACGAGTATTAGACCCCTGTTAAATTGTTTCTATAATAAATGTAGCGTTTCCGAAATAGAGCCTGCGCAAAATGAGGACTGCAAAATTTTCAATGAATTTTTTCACCTATTAGACAACGCCTAAGAAAAAAATTTATTGAACATAAAATACGCTATTTAGATCATGGTTTAAAAAAAAAATTATCCCAAATTTTTATAATAATGATTTTAAACTAATAAAGTAAAAAAACACACAAAAATTTGAATATCTCAAAAACCCCATTTTCTATTTTTTTGAAATTTATAGGGAATATTCTAGGGAGTATTAGAAGAATTTTAAGACTAGTTAGAAGTTGCGCAGAATTTTTGGGATTTTTTTATAAATTTTTTTGTGAGGCAGTAGTAATATTTGACTCGCAAAAGTGTAGTTAAAAACGCGTTTCAGACAATTCTGAATCAATTTAGATATACTTTTTTACTAAAGCATGATGAAGATCTCGGCATAGCACACGACAATTGCGATGAACAGTGTGGGAAAGGCAAAAAAAATAGATTTATGAGGAAGTTTAATTCAATAAGTACATTTGTTTAAGAACATTTGTTTATTATTTTGTGCTCAGTATAATCATTCGAAAAGGAGTAATCTTTAACAATTAATTTATAATTTTTGGTATGACTTGGTATGACGCAGTGGACACATTGAGTCTGAGGTATTCTTTTTGTTTGATCGTACCGACCTGTCAAAAATTCGGCTATAACATATTTTGGAAATAAATATTTCTACGTTAATTTATTTTCTATTAGGGTGTAGCTGTCCTTTTCGTATTGTGTGAGAACCGCTCGATGGATCTGTTCAGTGCAATTTGGCGAAAGATAAAAGAACTCCGTCCAAATGCACTGCAAGGAGTGCAATTGGTCATCAACGATTACGAACGCGCGGCTATGACGGCTGCAAGGGAGATTTTTCCGGAAGCACGATTAACCGGCTGCTGGTTTCATTTCAATCAAGCACGTATATAGCATCTACTATGGAATGACAAAAACAGCGGGATTTATTTAGAATCTATAATTATTATAAAGTTTTTTATTGTTATAATTCATTTATTTGTTTCATTACTTTTTATATAGGCCGTATTAAGACGTTGGAGAGCTTTAGGTTTAACGGCAGCCCCTAGAAAGGTCTTCGGTCTTACTATGGCCTTACCGTTGGCACCGGCCGATGAGTTCAAAAGAGGATTGCGAGTAATTCAAGAGGAAGCTGATATGATATCGATAAGGTATCCGGCTGTGTTACAATTATGCTTATTTGAGACGTACTTGGCTTCCTTTAAAACAAAAAGTCTCTGTATTTGGTACACCAATACGGACGAACAATTTTGTGGAAAGTTTCCATCATACAATATATATATACACACACACACAATATATAATATAAAATATATTAACATATATTTCATTTTTATCGCTTTTCTACAGATTTACGTTGAAGGAGTTTCTCTGGACGCTTAGCAATACAGCGCAATTGCCCGAAGAGAATTTCGGTTTGTTAAAAAATGTTTTATATATGTATATACTATATATATATGTATAGTTTGAAAGAAAAAGAAAGAAAATATATGTTGCAGATCCACAAGATGATATCTTAGACAATATAAACCATGAAGAAATAATAGACTGCAATCTGTTTGATGCACACACAGGTATCACAATATTTATATATATATATATATTTTTTTTTTGTTCTTTAACTTCTCTTCTAACATTTGCTTGCTTTCGCTATTATATTAGTATATTAAAATGATAATATAATGCTGTATTTGTTATTGTTTCATATGATACTTCTCTATACGATATTTGTGTTGGTTGTAGCATATTTCAACAAATATCATGTGCATTCATAAGGGCCGGTTGTTCCAATCTGTTGGTAAACTACCTAATAGTTAAATCTATATATAATGTCTTTGTTTATCCTTTACATTAGACAAAGATAAATATATAATTTAACTATTAAGTAGCTTACCAATAGGTTGGAACAACCGGCCCTAGATTATTTTATATCCATTTGTTATGTTTGTTTTCTTTTCTATTTATTGATAGTCTGTTCAAACTTCTTTATTCGTTACAGTGCAGGAATCTGCGTCTACATCATATTCCATTGAAGATCAACCAGAGATAACAAGTTCGACAGGTACAATCGTAATTGATATAGCATTGATATTGTAACGTTTTCTAAGTTGATTGCTGACGGGCGGTATGGAAACTCAGGATAACTTTCTGGTTACAGCAACGTGTGTCTTTATTCAGCTCTCGACATGGTACAGGGGGTCGATTCTGTATTTTGAGACGAGGTGAAAATTACAAAAGTGAACAAATTTACTAGATTTCGACAAATGAAGTTGTAGATTCTCTAGTGAATTTCCTCACTTTTGTAATTTTCACCTCGTCCCAAGATACAGAATCGACCCCCAGAACATGGCCGACTCGACTCATCGAGATATCGACTGATCTCGATATCCTTACTGATATAGCAAAATATAGAATGAAATAACATCAAGGTGAATGCACACTGCAAATCCAAGTGTGTTATTTAGCTAAAACTCTTCTTACACATTTCTTGCCGTTTTAAATCATGTCATTTAGCACAATTGAACGTATTAACTTTTAATTTAATGCGGTTAAACGTGTTAAATAACGTGATTTAAAACGTCCAAAAATTTGTAAAAAGAACTTCAGTCAAATATGTCATTTTTAGACGTTTATTATGCGTGTAAAACTAACACTTGTATTTGCAGTGTGCGTATATGTGTATGCACACAATTCCTATATTTTTGTATCTGTGGGGCTCGATTCTTGAATTTATTTGCAAGAGACGTATGTGCAAATATTGATTTTAGAAAAGTTGCAAGTCGGTTGACTATCGCATAATTTTTAACCAATCAACTTGCAACGTTTCTATAAGAGCAGAATTTTCGCATACATTTCTCATGCGAATGAATTCAAGAATCAAACCCCTGATCAATTTTCTTATCAATTAGCTTATCAATTCTCGTATCAATAATATTTCTTTTTATTTATTTATTTTATTACTTTACAGATAACGAAGATATTTTTTGCATGTGGACATTTATGCATTTGCAATAATTGCAAGGAACATTTGGAAGACCGCAATTGCCCACTTTGTCGGAAAGAATATACAACATGTATTCGTGTTATATCTACATAGACCGAAAAAACAGCGAGTCCACGATCGCTCGTTCTCCCTAACTTACTCGTCAATGCGATACACGGCGACCTGGGGATGCCGTTTCTGTTAGTAAAGCGGCGGCTTCTCCCGGCTGTCATTCCCGTTGCGTCGCCGACCACAATCGATCTCCCTATTGGATCAATAATCAGCGTCGTCCAACGCTAATAATCGCGCAAGGACTGAAGGGAAACCGGGGCGAGTTTTTTTTATCGAGTGTCTTGCCGATGTCTTGCGATTTTCTTCACGACTTCATTTTTAACCCTCCCGCGTATGATACTTTGTAGGAGTTTTTCACGACACACGGATTTCTTATAGCTTGCGGATACGAGACTAAGAGGCTTGAAATTTACAATTTCTCGTGCCTTTTCGAGGAGAGGAGCGATCGGCTTTCGGAAATGATTGAACAATCGATCGACCGGCGGGGAGAAAAGGGCTGCAAACGTTTAGTTTTTCTTTTACTTTTTTTTCGTTTACATGCGTCTATATATTATGTGCATTGTATTTTTTTGTGTTTCTTCTCTTTGTGCGAGTATACTGTTTCACCGAGTGTATTGTACAAGCGTTATCGCTCGTCGAGTGTAGGCCCATAGACCAATTTTTAATCGATTAGTGATTAGTATGGATCTTTTCGCCTGTAATTTACTATTATTACTGATATTATTACTATTATTACTACTATTAATACTACGACTACTTTTTTTTCTACGATGACGTTGATTGGTGTACGAAAGCGAACCGTTTAAGAGTTTAATGCATAGATATCTACGCCTACAAGAAATTAATTTTTAAGTATTTTTTAAGTATATAAGTAAGTTAGCGAGCAAACAAAGTAAGATGAGACGGTAAGAAAAATTTAAATTTTTAGTTAACCTAGCGGTTAGGATAAATATAGGAATTGTTTAGCAGAGTATGCAATTTGAAATACATCCAGGTTAATATTGTCTATCTGTACGATAAATGTGAACGCTACTCCGTAACTATATTGCGTGTATATAATACCTTTTAGCGGATATCGCATAACACATGATCACCTAGCTGACGTACCACGCTAGAATAAGATAAAACCTCGCCCTTCGTACGTTTCGTCGTTTACATTTAATTCACGGCATCTCATTTCGATGGCGCGTATTTGGTTTTTTTTTTATGTACCATCGACATTCTCACCAATTTTTTTTCCCTTTAGTACGCAGAGATATAAGGACTGTATTCATTTTTTGGGGAACTGTAGAAGAGGGACACGTTTAGCGGAGCAATTATTTCCGAAACGTACGAGGGGCGTTTCGTAGGAGATACGATTCTATCTTGGGCTTTTAACATTCGCGATGAAAATGTGATCCCGGCGTTTCTGAAGTCGCGGATCTCGAAGGTAATGTACAAAGCTCGATGTCGACATTCATGCGAGGATGCACGAGAACCTAAAAAGAAGAGACAAATTCACCCTCGTTTCCATCTTTCGTATTTTTTCTACGATTCTCTCCCCAACGGTACAGAACTATATTAAACTCACGGCATTTATATCTTCACGGGACAGGACTTGTCGCAAAATAGAGACGATCGTATCTTCTGTATTTTATCGCGTTAGATTCTGCAGTAACAGAATCTACGAGGTATGACGAGCGTGCTATCTTTATTACTCAGGCTCGATGCGTTGTCAAGTCGAATGGAAAAAAGTCGCCGAAAAGATTTTTTAAAAATACGAAAATGGACACGACGTTCGATGAATAACAACAAACTGAATCTTTTCCACGCGAGTCCGATATGTACGTCTCGTTTTCCCGCATACGTCTGAGTCTTAATAGTTTCGAAAAATGTCGGAAAGAATATACAACATGTATTCGTGTTATATCTACATAAAACGACATATCCTTACAGAACTTAAAACATATAAGTAATTTTTTTGTTTCTTATACCTTGCACTTTTCTTTTGTATCTTACTTGTATCAACTTTTTTTTTAGATGAACTTATTATTTAAGAAAAAGATCCGAAGATGTCCACCATCTGATTTTGATAAACTGTTAATATGTCGTTTTTTGGATAAAAATAAGGGACGCGTATTTTTTTATACGTGCCTAATCGTATGTTTAAGGAGTAAAACACCATTTTGAAAGAATCAGATTTTTTTCAAGGCGAATATCTCCGTAGCTATAAAAGATATAGAGAAAGTTTTTTAAACAAAAGTTGAATGGAATGAAGAGAGATAGATGAAGATAGATAGATAGATAGATAGAGAGAGAGAGAGAGAAAGAGAAAAACAGTGACAAAAATATTTTTAAATTTTTTTATTCTTTTAAAATTTTTAAAATAATAAATATTTTAATTAGCAAATTTTTGTCACTGTTTCAAAATATGCTTAAAATCATTCAACTTTTGTTTAAAAAATCTTTTTTTATCTCTTAAATAGTTTTAGAGATATTTACCCCAAAAAAGAAAATTTGGTCTTTTTGAAAGAAGTTTTTTAAACTTTTAAACATACGATTGGATATGTACCAAAAGAATACGTATCCCTTTGTTTGGCGCATCGCCTATCCCCTTGTACATATCGTTGTAAATATTCGCGTGATACCTTATGTTGTTCTTATTACTTAGATTTTCCTTTAATTTTCATTAATGGATTATAGAACCGTCTCATTACTGTATTCGGCCGTATCATGGCCCATTATTTAGCGAGACGTCGGTGGATCGCGATCGGCAAGTACAAGCGACTCACCAGTCGGTGCTGCCATCGCCATCCGCCGACGACCGCAATGCAAATCAGACATACTACTCGCTCGCGACACCTTCCAGAAGCGCGAGCCGGAAGACAATTCTCGACCAGACGTCGCATGGCACGGATCACTTGCCTCGTCGACGGCCGCTTACGGCTACACACACACACACACACACACACACATACACAGTTATTCGCCAAGTCGTCTCAAGAGACACGCTCTCGATAACGTGGAGCCGCACGGTTTCGTTTGCCTGCCTTGCTTGCCTGATTGCCTGCCTTGCTTGCCTGATTGCCTGCTTGCTTGCTATTGCCTTTGCAAGGATCTTGCACCGAGACGGGGCACAACGCAACGGACAACGGCGAGGAACCGGAGCCGGCCATCCACGGTGAGTCGCTTACGATTTCGCTTACGCTCTCGCTCAATCTCAGGCACGCGTTGCATGCGCCCAGCGCGCCTTCGCCGTACATTAATCGTGAGGGGACCTACTGCCCCTCTGGTCCTTCGGTCATCAAAGCTTTCGACCATTGTTCCACCGGAGAACTGACACCCCCCGATAAAACACCCTTATTTTCATCTAAGAAAACGACATATTGAAAGCTCATCAAAATCGGATAAGGAGCACTTCGGACTTTTTCCATATTAGCTTAATTCATAAAGAGTAATAATTATGTGATTTTTCAACAATTATATCTACATAAAAATAAAACAGTTTTAAGGCTTTTGATACTTAATCAGCCATATTGAAAATCGTGACGTCAGAGGCGAGAAATAATACATGGAGAATTCTTGCGTGCTAATTTTTAACGAAGATATTTGATTAGAAAAAAAAACACTTCAGATTGTTTTAACACACTTTTAAAATAGTCCGAAAACTAACCTTTTTTGTTGATCAATCAATCAACAGCTGAAAAATGACTGTAATATGAAACCTAGCTTGCAGATGCACAATCACTTGATCGCATCATGACACTTCGCACCAAGTCCCATATAGTTATTTAACCACCCTTAGGGCTGATTGTTCCAACTTATTGGTAAGCTACCTAATAGTTAAATCATATGTCTATCTTTGTCTAATGTAAAGGATAATCAAAGACATACATATGATTTAACTATTAGGTAGTTTACCAACAAGTCGGAACAACCGGCCCTTAATAACTTATAACAGAAAAGATTAGTTTCGGACTATTTTAGAAGTGTGCTAAAGCGACCTGGAGTGATTTTTTAAATCCAAATATTTTTTTATGTAGAAATGGCACGCAAAAAAGCCTTAAGCTGAATGCAATACAAAAGTACAGGCAACAGGAACAGGGAATAACACAGGCAATTGGATTTTCAACCTAGCCCTTGCAGCCGACGGCTGCACCCGAGCACGACCAGCTGCAGCAAAGGCAACTTCCAACGGTGACGGATGACCGAATACTCACCCAGTCGATGGTGAAGAAGCAGAGGGTCCGGAAATCAAAGAACCAACCGACGGACATCGCGGAAGATCAACGCGGCAGCCCGAACGAGACGGAGGAGGCGCGTAGACGAATCGTCCTAGCGGCGATCATGGATGCGGAGACGGTCGCTGAGCGACTATAGACCAGTACGCGAACCTGAAAAAGAAAAGACAAAATGTAAATAGTGCGATATAAAAAAGTAATAAACAATATTAGTGGGCAATATAGCGATAAGAAAAACATAATGGGTATAATCAGATATATATATATATATATATATATATATATATAAAATTAAAAGATAAGATTTCGGAATAAATGCGCGAGCGACGATAATAGTTAGTAATCCGCGGCGTGCGATCAAGTAAAAAATTTACTTTCACGGTTTATACCGATCCGAACGAACAGAGGCGAATTAACCTTAAGAGAAAAAAACATTTATTTCGCCAAGGAAATTAAGAAAGGTTATAATACTTTTAGCGATTAAAGAACCTTTTACCATAAAATTGTGACATATCCTCATTTCCCAATTCCTCATCCTAAAACGCGATTACATTGATTGATAGAAGGAAAAGTAGAGTCACGTGGAATAATTCAAAAATTGAATTAGATTAAGAGCAAGCGAGCTCAGCCAAAAAGACGTAGAATCACCGGGAAATGAAAAGCCGTCACGAATAACGCGGAATGGTAGAGTCGGGGCAAGTTGGCAACGCGATCATTATAAGCGGCAGTTACGCAAGAAAGATTACGCGAAAGCACGAAGCATAGACCAAATTTCCGAAAAGATCCGCGATAAGCAGGTGTAAAATGGCAATAACGCGAATCTGGGGCAAAACCGTCACGATGATGATGTTACGTCCAAACCCCGGGAGTCTCA